GTAAGTACTTACAAGCAAATCTAGGATTGATTTTTAAGTAGATGATGGTTGTTTAGATTTAAACACAACTGATTTTTAATTAGATAATGACTATATATATATACATATATATATATATATATATATATATATATATATATAATTGCTATCAATCCATTAAGTAAAATCTCATAAATTATATCAATGTGACACCTAATTTTCTAAAAACTAATTCTGTTAATTAAGACAAAAATCGTTACATTATTAATTGAGTAATAATTATATTTTTATTTAATATGTTATTATTAGAATTAATAATTAAATTTTACACGAAATTGTATATGAACGTTATGTAAACAAAAAAAAATTATATAGTAAAAAATTTTGTTCAAGTTATTTATTTTAAAATAAATATTATATTTTTTTTATCTTATTAAGCGATTGTTTTTCAAATAAATTATTTATTTCAATGTCATAGTAAAAACTCTTAAAATCGCATAAGCAATTGTTATAATAAAAAATAATATTTTTCAACATTTTAATTGGTAATGAACTCTCAAAATTACAAATATTACGTTATTTATTACATTTTATGCAATCAAGATAGTGATTCATATGCAATTAAATAGTTGCGTATTGTTTATTTTAACCAATGATCAAATTCTAAAATTTAGAACCATTATCAAATTATAATTTTATATTATATGCATAAATTTAACTTATAATACAATATGTTTCAAATTTAATACCATTATCTAACTTGTATTTTACTATTACATGCACATTAATAAATTATAATATTTTATTTATATCTATGCAAATGCACAACGTTGAATACTAATTTGGATATAAAGCGTGGTAGATTTTACTAACTTTTTTTTCTCTTATTGTTGGATCAACGTAGATTTATATAATGAAAATTCAATACAACCACCACCATCGTAAAAAAATCTAAACATTTTTAACTCAACCATTTTTTTTTAACTCAACTTTAACTTAACCTAACCATCATCAATATTATCAATATAATTAAATAATATCAATCAATCATTCTTATACACCACGTCAACTTTAATTCATTATTCATCCACTCACATAATTTTAACCAACTATTACTTCAAATCTTCTCTCTTCTATTTTACATCAAATCAACTTTAATCATTTTATTTTAAGTATTATTTTAATAAACCCATCTATATCTCTATAAAGAGAAAACCTACTTACCAAAAATAGTAACACAAAGTCAACAAACATTTATTGCATTCTATTTTTGGCAGTTTTTGAATTTTATTTTTAAATTATTTCCAAAAATTTATCAGCTATATATGCACCCTAAATTCATTGGTTTTGTTGATTTAATTTAGGTAAATTTCGACTGATGCTTACAATGTTGCAAAAGTCAAAATCTTTTCTCATATTTTATTAAAAAAAAAAACTGATTACCATAAAATCCGGAATTTTGCATTAAGCAAACTCTTATCACATATATTTTTTCCTAATTATAACAGATCAATTCTTTATTAATAAACCGGATTGCATAAAAATCGAGTTAATTTAGGTAAATTTCGGCATGGCAATTTTGTAAAAGTCAAAATTCTATCATTTTTTATTAAAAAAATATGTTTACCATAAAGTCGGGAATTTCTAATTAGGAAAAATTTGTTGTATCTTTATCTAATTGCAATAGATCATGTTTATTAAAAAAAATCGGATTGCATAAAAATCGACCCAATTTCAAATTGATTATTAAAATTTAAAATTCACATATCATTAGGCTACTACTTTCTTTAGTTCGGATTTCTTTTAAGGCAAAATTGCGGCTAATATCATGACCTTTAGCGAGATTGCAAATTAATCACAACCTTTTAACTTTTGCATAATATATCACGCCCTTCAATTCTTTGCAAAACGATACATGCGCTGCCCCAACTCATCTGACGTGGCACTCAAAATGCCAACGCACTTGCTGACGTGTATTTAACAGACGATTTTCTTTTTTTGCTTAATTAATCACAACCTTTTAACTTTTGCATAATATATCACGCCCTTAAATTTTTTTGCAAAACGATACATGGTTTAAGAGATGGTTTTTTTTCATTTCATCCCTGAACGAGATGAGGGGAGATTTTAGAACCCTTGGGGATATATTAGGCTAGGGCTGGAGAGAAAACATATTATTGAGACTTTTATCTTTTTTTTTTCATCTCAAAACTCATTCTCTCAACAACTTTTACTTGGTTTTCTTTGGATTTTGCTTGGATTCGAGTTTTGGAGATTGTGGCACTCCATAACGAACATGATTTGGTTTGTAATTTGATTTTATTCTCGACTTGGATTAATAATAATTTCCTTTCATTTGATTATGGAAGTGATTTATTATGTTGAATCTTTTGTTGGGATTGATATCAATATGTGTGGCTAAATCGCTTCGTTAGGGATAGAGGATATTTGTTTTGGTTCGATTGAGATTCGTGTGTACGTGTTTGTCATTCAATCTATTCGAGTTGTGTTGAATCTAGGGTTAGATGTTTGATCATCATTTTAATCTAGTTAATCAATTTGTAGAACCGGAAGGGGAGAAATTGATTGATCTCGGCTCGTTTAGAATAGGCTTGTTCGTCAATAGATTGTCGATATGTTAATTGTTTGATAATTGATCGTTACGAAGAGTTATTGAGAACAAGCCTCTAAACGAGTATGTTATTTGATCTCTTAACTGAGCAGTTGCGTGCTAATTGATTGCTGGAGAACCATAAACGAATATCTCCGACTCGCTAACTCACCAATCATTATTTGAACTCCATTTGGAATTTGAAGTGTGTCTTGCTTTATTTTTAGAATTTGTAGTCGATAATCAAAACAAAAAACAATTGAATTAGAGTGTTTCGGATTTGTTTTCTCTTTACGTATGATTGAATACACGTGCAAAGTAATTCGACTAACCTTCCTTGAGAGACGACCCGGTGTTTGAATCTTTTCGTGTTCCAAAATCTCCAGCTCTAGCCTAATATATCCCCAAGGGTTCCAAAATTTCCCCCTCATCTCGTCCAGGGATGAGATGGAAAAAAAAATCATCTGTTAAATACACGTCATACTAGTTGGGGCAGCAGATGGAAACGTGTATCGTTTTGCAAAATAATTTAAAGGCGTGATATATTATGCAAAAGTTAAAATGTTGTGATTAATTATGCAAAAAAAATCGTCTGTTAAATACACATCAGCAGGTGCGTTGGCATTTTGAGTGCCACGTTAGACGAGTTGGGGCAGCGCATGTATCGTTTTGCAAAGAATTGAAGGTCGTGATATATTATGCAAAAGTTAAAAGGTTGTGATTAATTTGTAATATCGATAAAGGTCATGATATTAGCCGCAATTTTGCCTTCTTTTAAACATATAGCAGACTTAGATAATATTAATTTGAAATTCAAAATGAAATCGGACTGGAACATCCTAAAAATATGGGCTTTATTTGAAATTAATTGCATACACGTACACAATTTTTTCATTCCTTAAATTAAGTAATTTAAAATTTTAAAATAATAAGGCTATATATTATCGAGAAATACATTTTACAATCTCAGTTTTATTGGGTATGTAATCTTCATAAAACTATCATAAATCATATCATATATATCTTGCTAAATAATTTAATTGATTTATTTAAGCCTATTTAGAATCCTAATATATATATGTGTCAAGTTTTTATTTTCTTAGATACGGTTTGCATGGAGGTACGTTGTTTTCTGTTTAACTAGTACCAATCCCATGGGATACACGGATAAAAGATATTAATTTGGGTTAATTGTTAAATAAACCTTAACATTTTTGCGTTTGACAATTTTATCTCAATCTTTGCGTAATTGCAATGTAATCTCGACCTCAATTTACTTATTGCAAGTCGAAACTAAAACCGGTTGGACTTTAAAAAAACTGGTCGATTTGAAGGCGGTTCGAACAGATCGGAGCTCATATTTACCGGTTCACTCCAGATCTAGGGGGAGACTCATCACCCGTAGCTTACATTGACGTGGAATTTTCGGTTTTGTGCGTGGATATACATTAAATACGTGGAAATTATCAACTTGCTAGATAGCATAAAAACCCGTGTCAATGGAAGACTTGGACACAAAATCGATCCACAAATCCCTAAAATCAATCACTCTACACCCAAATTTGCAATAAGTAAATTGAGGTCGAGATTATATTGCAATTACCCAAAGATTGGGATAACGTTGTAACGCCCAGTATATTATTTACTAATTATAGAGCTCGACTTTATTTCCATAAATAGCCAGATTTCTAATTTGATGCATTTATTATTATTATTTGCATTACATCGAGTAATTAGTATTAAAGTGTAAGCCATAGAGAATTTATTCGATTTTAATTATTAAAGTCGAATTTATTTAGCCCAAGCATCGGTTTTATTTTTAAAACCGAGCATTGGAATGATCAGAATTTTATTAAAGCAGAACGAAGCCGAGTAATTAATTTATTCGAGCCTAAACATTTGCGAGCGGGTCCAATTATTTTATTTATTTCGGCCCATTCCATTTTAGTAAGTCGAGCTCATGTTCGATTTAATGTTAGTCTATTCTAAAAATCGAGCCTATAGTCGATTTTTAAACCCGAGCCCAATTATTCTATAAAAATCGACCGACTAAATTATTTAGTCTGAGTCTGATTAATTTATTAGCCAAGTATTTGATTCCTAAGTCAACGTTGATTTTAATCGAGCCCAAGTGTTAGGATTTTTAAACCCGATTATATTAAATCCTAAGGCCCAATGTTGAGCCCAATTACACAAGCGAACCCTAATTTCCTACCCCCTATAAATGCATACATCCTCATTCCACCTCCTAACACTATTCATCATCATCCCCATCTAAAAACCCTAGCTACCACATTCAAGAGCTTCAAGCATCAACTCCCTAGCTTAATCTTCACAAATCTGGCAATCTCCACCGAGTTCCGGCAAGACGTCGTCCTCCGACGAGCCTTCCCGTCGCGACCAAACAAAGGTCCCACAGCCGCAGCAAACCAAGCCACTCCCGAACCAGCCGCGCCTAGCACAGCCCCGCGCCACCATGCCTGCGTTTTCCGGCGACCCCACACAGAGCCACCTTCACGTTGGTGCTCCTCCACCACGCCAGTAATATTTCCAGCGAGCACGTCCAGCTACAGATTACGGCGAACCAGCCACGCTGGCGACCTCCACGGGCCGTCGTCTTCAGCTCGAACCCACAACAAGCTTGTCCATGCAGCACCTCCCGCCGGCGAGCACCAGCTCGTCCTCCATAGCTCGCGCTCCGGCGAACACCTCACGCCTCCGCCGATTCTTGCTCCCAGCTCGCAGCTCGACCTCAAGCAGAAGACCTTCACGTCGTTCCCAGCTCAGGCAGGCACCCACCGCGAGCTCACGTCGCGTTTCCTTAGTCCGGCGAGTCGCGCCCGTTCCAGCGACCGAGTCGCCCGAGTTAGACTCCGTCCAGCCCGAGTCCACCGCAACTGACCCCGATTCCGGCATCCTCGTGGCTGTGCACCGCCTCTCTGTCGTCGCTGACCCGAACCCGGCCGTTTTCCAACCCAATCAACTCAGCACCGAGTTGGCCCAGTCAAACTCGCTCAGAATTGTCCCAGCTGACCTGGTCCGACCCGAAAGAGCACCAGCTGACCCAGTTTCCAAGCGGTCCAGCGCATGTCCGACCCGATTTAGCTCCGATCCATTTTCTTTAGCTCGACCTATTCGTGGTTTCTCCGATTCGAGCCCGATTTTAGGTAAAATGGCTTGAACTCGTTTCCATGAGATTAGATATAATTATTAAGATGATATAAAGATCTGAATTTGAGGATTTGAGCGATTTTTTATTTATTGGGATTTATCGAGCTTGAAGTGGACTTTGGGACTTTTTAAATAAATGTGATAAAATGGCGAAATAAATTTTATAAAACTCGTTGCGTTTTCTTGAGGCTTAAGATGCGAATCGGGAAAATTTTAGAGTTCGCTTGACATGCGAACGGGATTTTGAAATGTTTGACCGGTTGAAGCGATTTTGAGTAGAATGGGTTAGGAGTTGAATTTTGACGCGATATTTTGACCATGGTCCATGTGTGTGTTGACGATGGTGTGTTTCGAATTTCATAATTTTCGGACACCGTTTTGACCTAGATTAAAGATCGAGATGTAGCCCCATTTCGCGATAAATATAGAAGAATTAGCCGGATATGATTTTAGCTGCTATTGTTGATTATAAATTCTTTACATATCACATAGAAATTAATGATCTAAATATTGGCTTAAAATGAGTTAAGATTTTTGAGAATTAGAAACCCTAGTTTTTTCCGGTTTTGATAGTCGGGTAATTTTTGGATCTGAGTTTAATGGATCGAACCCTAGTACCGGTTAAATAATTTGTCGTAACATTAGTTCGTAACATGTATCGTCTTCCCTCACACGTGCTCGACTCTCATCCGACCGTTCGAGCCGAATAGTCGAGTGCGTGCCCGTGCACCGAGTCCGAGTCAAACCACCGAGTGCGTGCCCGTGCACCGAGTCCATCCGACCCACCGTCTACGCGCCGTTTTCTTTAGACGTGGTCCAAGCACGCCCCTGCGTCAGTGACCGTGGCACCGTTCCAAACCGTGCATCGGCTAAGCCGTGTCTGTCGAGTTCGTGTCGGCCCCGAGTTGCCGCACTGAACTCAGACCACGGTCAAACCGAGCTGCACATAGTCAAGCGACTGATCGATCGACTCCGAGTGAGTCTCTGGTTCAGTTCAGTCGGACCGGTCCGGTAAGTCCGTACGGTTCGAGACATATTTAAGATAGCAATTCCAGATATATTTCAGATAGAATTTCAGATATTTTTCAGATAAATTTCAGATCCAATCAGATTAAGATTTCAGATAGAGTTAAGATTTCAGATATATTTAAGATCTAGACATATTTCAGATTTAAGATTTCAGTCAGATTATAGTTCCAGACTTAGAAATATTTCAGAGAACTCTAGTATGCCTCAAAGACAATAAATTTTCAAAATCAGCTTGTAAATCCCTAAAATTATATCAAAGCCGAGTGAGCGAACCTAGTCAGCTCAGATAATATAACTTGAGTTTTTTAGTTTAAGCTAAGTACTTAGAATATATCTTGTGCTTATATATTTTGTAGCTTGTCGAGAGTCGAGCCTCCGACAGTTGCAAACCATTCAGCACTTGCATTTCAGCATATCAGGTGGGGACCCTGTACTGGGTATTACATCTTCTATAATCGCAATACCATGGTTGAGGTATGTATGTGAGATTCCACCCGAATAGGGGCAATTACCTAGCAAGTAGATCCTTTCTAGCTAGGAGAATCGAACGCTAGTCTAGATGGGATAAGAATTCTAGTGCAACTTTGAGTTAAGTGAATTCAGAACGCTAGAGCAGCCTTGAGTTAAATTTAATTTCAGACGATCTTAGAATAGTTCTTGTAACATCCCGTCAGCTTATCGGTATAAATTATGTTTTAGTTCCGATATATTAATATTGTCGAGTATTAATTTTCGGAATTAATTATTTTCAGTCAAGATTACCGAAAATTATTTTCGACGTACCGTTTACGTTCGGAATAATTTTGGTAATTAAGCATTATGTTTAATTTAATAATTAGACATAATTAAGTGATTAATCAACTATTAATCACATTAATGTTTGAATAAGTCGTACGAATTTTGGTGAGGAATTTTCCCAAATTTGTAATCAATTTCCTACGCATAAAGGAAGAAATTTTCCGTCCATTTTTTTAGCATTTGCACGTGTCATCAAGAGGGGATTTAAGGGGTGATTAGTCACCCATAAGGCACCCAATTATCTAGCAATTGTCAAGCTAAAGAGTAGCCACGTCTATGTTAATTTATGTCCAAACAATTTGGCCTTGTTCGGTTAGTATAAAAGGGGGGACTTAAGCTGATTTTTCCTCACTTATTTCGTCCTTATATCTCCTCTCTAAATCATAGTAAGTTCAGCAAATAAATAGTCAAGCAATTTGCCTTAGTTTATCTATACACCACGCATGGCAAGAGCAAGCATTTGGACGATTTTTCTCCCAACTTTTCCTTAAGTATAAGTAAGCCATATTCAGCACATCTTCTTCCTAAATATTCATTTCGATCAGCAAGCATTAAGAGGGCAAAGTGTTAGTTCTCGCACGTAAGGGAAGCATCGCACGGCAAGGAGTAGTTGGTATCGCACACGGACACGCGCAATTGAGGTCACGACCAGTTTTGTGAATTCCGTCGAACACTTGAGTAGGTAAAGCTATCCTCAACTCATTTCCATGTCAATAAGTTCATTTTAGGTTGTAGTGTTCGATTTATGTTCAAGAGTTCATAGCTATGCCATGTTAAGGTTCGGTTATGCCTAGTTAAGCTGTGATCGAGTAACTTCGTATTTTACCCAGCAACTCATGAAGCATCTATGTTTAATTGATCAGTTTACATCATTTTATACTTAGTTACTTGATGATGGTCGAGGTAAAATATCGTTTTAGCCCTGAATCGGCTCAAATTCGTCGGCAGCGCTCGTCGCGCACGCCGCGGGCACTCCCATGTCATGTTATGAAATCTTCCGTTATGGTCAAGTTGTCCGTGCGATTTATGTCTCAATAGCTTTCAAATGATGTTTCATGTTTAAATTGGTCTTGAGTTGCCGAGGGAAAAGTTGATCGGTCGAGAGACGGCCTATCGCCGTCGGCGGCGCACGGCGCGCTCGTCATGGCCCCATTCAGTTGATCGTGCGAAAATTTATATTTTCAAGTGATTTCAGTGATTATGTTCATGTCATGACAGGTTATGTTAATTGAGGTCAGATTGCACGGGAGTTATT